CGGGGGCGCGGGAGGGGGGGGGGAGAAGGGTGGAGCCTTCCCGCCAAGCTGCGGCGCTGCGCACTTGGCTTCTTTCGTTCCTTCCGGCGCGGCAGGCCCTGAGGCGCGCTGTTCCAGCGTTGGGCGCCCCTCCCCCGCCGGCCTCAGAGCGCGGCCCCGGGGGCTCCCTAGCGCTTTGGGCGGCCGCACTGCTAGCCCGGCCCCGGGTTCCCCTGCCCAGCCTGTGCCAAGTGCCCATACCCTGGAGCGAGCTGCGCCGCCCTGTGGGCCAGCGAAGTTAAATATCGACTGATTGACTCATCAACTAGGGGATTAATTTTTGCACCATCTATTCCATTAGTCCCTAGAATAGTGATAGAAATGTAGCCGTGTTAGTCTGGGGTAGCTGAAGCAAAATGCAGGACAATGTAGCACTTTAAAGACTAACAAGATGGTTTATTAGATGATGAGCTTTTGTGGGCCAGACCCACTTCCTCAGATCAAATAGTGGAAGAAAATAGTCACAACCATTCATTAGTCCCTAGGGCACCTCCACCTTTGAAGTGTCCTGTGGAGCCTGGGGTCAGCTGGGGACTCAGGCACTGACCCCAGGCTCCATGCCGTGCTGCTGTTTTGAAATGCCTGGAGGAGCCTGGTGTCAGGCATGTGTTGTATCATGCAAGCAAGGTACTAACAAACTTCAACAGGACTTTATTTACCAAAAGTGAAACCTCTTTACAAAGCTGCTACACCTCTTTGTAGTTCTCACTCAGCCCTAGCTAATCTCCCTCCTCCCCCCTTCCTGTGCTTCCAGACTCCCAACAGCCGGTGCTCCCAGTTCTAATAATTACAAGCAGCATCTAAAACACCACAGTGTGGAACCCAGGGTCAGTAGAAAAGTCCTCACCTGACTTTGGGCTCCACACAGCATTGCTGCTTTGAAGTACCCCCTCTTTCCCACCACCCTTGCTTCTTTTTGATAGGAAACAAGGTTAGCATTAGCATGAACAGTGCATCTGCACCAATGTCAGCAAAAGCTCAAGTACTAACCTAGGGCAGGACGATGGGGGGGGAGAAGCGACTAGTCAACTAGTCTATGGACTAGCCAATAAACATTTGCTTATTAGATAGTTGACTAGTCCTTCACATCCCTTGTGTGGGAGGGACTTTCCAGTGAGGTAGCCCAGCTACTGCAGGCAAGGGATGGAGGGGAAGCTCAGAAACTCAAAGCCCTTGCCCGCACCAGCAGGGCTACTTCTGTAGAAATCCCACCCCGAAAGTGAGCTTTGTACCAATCAAAGCCAGGTGTGTGGAGCAGGCCCTAGGGGACATTGGGAGGGCCTTGCTGCTGGGTAAGGAAGCTAATGGGGTAGAGTCTCTGGAGTATGGGTAGGGTAGGTAGAATTCTTCACTTTGCAGTGGTGCATGAATGGTAGCAAAGCTACTTCCTGTGCCCTAGGAATAGGGGCTTTGCACTGGTGCCACGCTGCTAGTACAGACAAGCATCTGTATTTCTAATCTCAAAAATATGCTTGGTCCTGCCCTAGGCTAGTGCTTAAGCTGTTGCTGACATTGGTGCAGCTGCACTGTTCATTCTTATGTTAATGTTGTTTCCGTACAAAAGGCCTGGGATTAAGATGGATTTGCCCCATGTGGAAGTATAAATAACGCCTGTTGGGATCTCTGCTGTCAAGGGGAATAGTTTTCCCAGACCTAAAGGCCAACTTCTATTGATGAAAAAAACAAGCTCTGAAGATTACTCAAACTTCTCTTCAGGGAAAATAGAACTGTGTGTAGCCTGAGGGCTTTTCTCTCTCACCAATAGAAGTTTATCCAATAAAAGATACTACCTGACTCACCTAGTCTCTAATATGCTGGGATGCCCAGGGCCACAACTGCATTCCATACATGAAAAGGAAGGTCAGATTGGGGCTTTGTCTTCTATGGAAGGTAAAAGAGCTAGCGGCCCACAGTAGGCAGGTGAATTGCAGTAGGCCTAGATGTGGCCCCAGCAGCATTCTGCCCTATACAGAGAGCTGGAATTGGGGAGAGAAAAAAGGACAGGGATAGATCTATGGAAAACGTTCCTGATCTGGTGATTCATCTGATGGTGCTTTAAAGCAGTGACTATTTGTGGCAGCGCTTGGGGGACCCCCCGATCCTGTACCCCTGGAGCAGCCAGAACAGACTCTGCCAGCCAGTAGAAAAGAGAGGGTTTATTGCTTCTCCAGGGTACAACACAGCATAGACGTGATATGTCTACAGGAGTCAGTACCAGGATGCCTCAGACCCCTTGGGATGGGGTGTCTAGGCCCCTAAACTCCCAACCCTCTACTTAGACTGTCCCCTTCATGGTTTCCCCCAGCCACCACTGCCTCGCTCCCACTGCCCTCCAGCCAGGAGTTCGTCTCCGCCTCCCTTCCTTTGTCTCCCCCTCTGGGAAGAGCCTTGTTATCTGCTCAGGCTGGGTCTAGGTGTCTGGGCCAATACACATGTGGGTGAGTCAGTGGGAATCACACATCACAATGCAGGGGAACCCCTGGTTACAGAGCAAACAGCACCCCCGATAGGTCACATTACTCCCCCCACTGAGAGCGAACTGAGCAGGGTCACTCCGCTTGTGACCTGGGGAAGTTCAGGCCTCCTGCCAGGTAAAGCAGCTGTGACATTGGCATTCCCCTTGGCTTGGGCCTGCCATGGTGGTGCCTTGCGGGAGCTGGCTCCATCCTGTTTGGCTGCTGCATGGCTTTGAGGGGGCTTGCGCAGGCCCACTCTCTGCGGTCGTACCCGCCCTTCCACTTCCTTTGGGCTGTGCCCAGGGCCTCCCTGGTCGGGCCCATGAGCTTAGCGAGCCTTTCCCGGAAACCAGGACGTCCTCCACCCCGACTCTCCATCTGGGGAGGTCTCCCCCTCCCATAACTCTCTCAGCAAGCCCAAGGGGTCCTTCCCCTTTCTGCACCATGGCTCAGTTGGGGAGAACCTGGTAGACCCTCTGGGCATCTCCCTGTGTGCAGACAGCAGGAGGGTAGGTACTTGTCCCAGTCCTGCGGATGCCAGTGCTTCTCTCAGTCCTAGCATTCCTTCTCTTGGTCCTATACCTCCAATTCCTTTATCCGCAGCTTGATCTCCAGCCGCCGCAGCTCTGCCGGGCTGGACCCCACCCTGGATGAACCACTGCTGGCGGAGCGTAGCCTGATGGGCACCACGTCTCTCTGGCGGGCTACAGCCCTTCCTCCAGTCTGAGGGCCTGAGACGCTCTGAGGAGGTGTCTAGTTGCTCTCCACTGAGACAGAATCCAGGCCCCTGGACTGGTCATT